TGCATTATATTGCTAGATAATGTCAAGAATAATGACTCATCAATGATTCAATGTCTCAGAGGTAGGCTTGGTCTTATTTGATGCTTTGTCTTAGTATGGCAGTATGGCAGACTTAGTATGTCAAACCATACTTGATTCTTTTCTCCTCTGCCTATAAAGGTAGAGCAATTTATATGCATTGACATCTAGGGCTCTGGAAATATTGCTCTTTTTCAACAGTTCGTGTGATTACAGGCCTCCCTTATGCAAAATGTTACTCTATACAGGAGAATCCTTCTCATCCATGCTCAAAGAACCTTGTTCTTCACCCTTAATTAGAGTTCTCTCTGCTCCCATCTGAACTCAAAACTCAACTGAAGATTCCCATTTACCTTTAAAAGCTTTAAAACTAGTAGCTTCAAAGACTTTACAAAAATCCTGGTAAATAATCACAGAATGTCATAATGGGAAAGTAATTAGGAGACCACTCAGATTAAGCCCCTTCACTTCCATGTGAGAAAGCTGGCACCAGAGGAAGTTGCCCTTAGTCACAGAGGTCATTCATGACATAGCTACAAGAAGCCCGGCCTCTCAAATCCTACTCCTGTGTTTTTTCTACTATACCAGAAGACCTTTGAATCTTCTCTGCTAGACAGCAGCTCTCTCCAAGCCAAGTGAGTGAAAAGGACACATTGGGAAGAGATTCAAGGAAAGGCCACAGGGCACTTGGATGTTGTCAGGTCAAGGTTATTGACAGTTCCCTTGTATTTTGTTTTAAACTATGTTATGCCTTGGCATTAGAGTTCACTCAATGCATTGCTTACAGATTTTTGGTCTCATATTCCTTTTTTTTCATTTTCATGCATTGAGAACATCAATAATGATTCAGCTTCTGGGAGGTTTTTTTTTTAAGTGACTGTTTTGCTTTGATCACTTTCACACCAAACAACAGTGTGAGGCTCCAGAATGACTAATAGAAGATTTGGAAGGAACAAGTTGCTTTCATTTGGAAATGAATGCACTTATGTGCTCTCCATCCAAGACTCGTGCAGCAATATTCATGTGGGCAGATTAAGAAATGCTACAGAACTGAAGTAGCAGTCAAGCCACTTCTTTGTACTCTAGCAGGATGGGAAAAACTCATAGGCAAGAAAAAAAAAAGCCCATGTCTATTTGAGTTGTCAGAAGCACACTTACCATCTATAGAAGTGCTAATATCTGAAGATGAATGTAGAGAAGTAGTGATGATTTCAGTTCTTTGAAACTTGTATCTATCAAAACCAGAAATGCTGCATCTCAGGGCAGGTGACTAAACCAAACCATCCTTGGCTCTCAATGAATAGAAGAAAATAAAGCTGCTTTTTAGCATAATGTTGGGGTTTTATGAATTTAATTTTTAGAAAAGCATGAGGATCTCTAAAAAGCCAAGACAAGAAAATTCTATGGCTTTATATTCAATGTTTAAGATAAAACATACAGACAGACATAGAGATATAAAGCCAAAAAGTTATTACATTTTAAAAATTATTTTCAGATCACATTACTCATGTTATGAAATTTATTTTCCTTAGAACTAATTCTGAATTTAATGGAAACATATGTCTTTGATTAAGATCATAGATTTGAGCTTGAACAGACTTCAGAGAGTTCATCTACTTCAACTCCCTCAACTTTCCAGAGAAGAAAACTGCATGTCAGAGAAGGTAACACATAGGTAGTAAAGAGCATGGTGTAGACTTGAACTCAGGTCCTTTGTCTTCAAATTAAAGATCCTTCCCACTGTCTATCATTGTTTTTTTTTTTTTCACATTCACAAGTAGGGATTTTTTTTTTCTTTTCCACAACCATATTTAGGTCTATTTTAACTTCACATTGTACATTAAAAAAAAAAAACCTCGACATCCTTCATTTTCTTGTCTTATTCTGTCTATCTAATTACAGAATGAAAGAAGGTTAATATCATATTGAACAAAAAATCTCCCTCATCTCTTGGTCTCTAATTGCCCCTTCCTAATTGGCTCCCATAGGAAAAGGAGACAGTTCAATAGTGACTGCCTGTGCTTTTCAGCAGAGGTTGGTTGTAATTAGAAATGCTACATGATTCCCTACTTGATAATAGAAGCATCCCATATACACTCCAAAGAGTTGATTTTCTCAAACTTGAAAAATTCTTGGGTTCATTCCCCCACCTTTTCTAGACTGAATTGGTACACAATGCCAAACTGCAATGTAAAAGGGTGGGTGGCCGTGTTCCTGCAAGGTCATGGAAATGTCCTTGTGCACAAGGAAAGTGGTTTTGATGTTGACTCAGCTTTTCCAAGTTCTGAATTCTGACAACTTTTCTGGATACTATTGAGTATGTGAGGACAACATTGTAGAATTCCAACCTGATGTTGCTCTGACCACAGTGTCTAAAGACTGATAATCACCAAAGAAGGTAAAAGAATAAGCATTTTTAATCACTTTTGTACTATGTAACAGGCACTGTGCTAAGCATATCTCATGACATCCTCATACCAAGCTTGGGAGGTAGGTGCTATTATTACCCCCGCTTTACAGTTGAGAACTTGGAAGCAGACAAAAATTGCCTAGGATCACACAGCTAGTAAGTGACTGAAGCTAGATTTTAATTCAAGTCTTCCTAACTTCAGGTCTAATGCTATATGCACTGCTAATCCTCAATACAGTGGAAAGAATCCTAGATCTGGAACCAAGGGATAGAGTTCATAGCCCAGCTGCACCAGTAATCACTTGCGTGACCTTGACAGGCCCACTCACCTTGTGACTTTTTTTTCCTCATCTGTAAAAAAATAAGATGAGTTTGTACTCAATGACCTCTAATATGTCTTCCAGCTTTAAATCTATGATGCCAAGAACCTCTCTGGTGCTTGGTTTCTTTAACTGTAAACTGAAAGTGTTGGTCTAAGTGATCTTTAAAATGCCATATAATTCTAAATCAATGCTTCTATATTGCCTAATATGCAGAGTGAGAATGACTTTGCACTGGGGAGAAACATAGCATCATACTTGTAAGTAAATATCTCAGTGCATTTTTGCAAATATGGTAACTTAATTTGGTTATATTTATTCATTTAACTATAAAATAATTATTTTCAAGTGCATATAAATGGAAGAATTGTACAGTTTTAATTAGTAGTTCATGCCTGGACTTAGAGTGACAAACATTACCTCTCTAAGCCTCAGTTTCCTCATCCATAAAATGAGGAGTTTGGACTAAATAATCTCTAAGATTCCTCCCACTCAAACATTCTATGATTCTACGACTACTTAGAAATCTTATTAAAACAAATTCAGGAAGAAAAAATAATAAATATACATTGGGAATAATGAATGAGGTATATATATATATACATATATATATACACACACACATATGTACACATATGACAGTCATATATTTATACATACATATATATACACACAAATATTATTTGTATAAATGTATTATAACATTTATATATATAGCCAAATTCTCCTGAGTTTTGAAGAAAATAAAAGTCCACCCCATTCATCCATTATAGATATTATGACACTTTTCAATACTAAAAAATAAAATATATGTTCAAAATTTAGACAGTCAGCTGCATAAGATATATCAATAAAAGAGAAATCATTTGACTGATTATTCTCTTTATAAATAAGTGAAGAAAAAAGCTTTAGTGACAAAAAAGAGTTAATATGTGAGTCTAAATAGATGTGTATATATGTGCAAAATAAAAAATGCACAATACACAAAGTGTAAAACCACTGGATTAATTACTTACATGCAAAACAAAGATTTCACTAGAGAGATTATTTATGATTCATCAGAGTACCATTTATTTTGCTAAACCCTGCTTTTATGCTTTACACACGATTGACAACCATTTACTGACTGATTCTTTAGTAGTTTTGTAGGTTGGAGGAGTATCTTTTTCTAAATGAGACCAGAAGAAGATTCATCTATTTCCTAAAGACCCCCAGAGACCAGGTGAACACAAGGAAATATGCATTTGGTATTCTCTTTGCATTGTGCAAGCCATCTACATGCAAAATGGGTAACACAGATGGATTTTTTTTTCTTTCTGGTATTAGATCACATCCCACACAATCTGCCAAAATCCACCCACCATGCCATAAGGAAGCTTAGTTTAGTGCTTAGAGCTCTGGCCTTAGAGTGAAAAAGATCTTTCTTCCAATCCTGCTTCATTAGTCTATGATCTTAGTCATGTCATTTAACTTCTCAGTCACTCATCCTTGAAAACTGGAATAATGATGGTATATACCACACAGTTGTTATGGGGACCCTGAGGGGAGGATGTGTCTAAAGTACTCCATGAACCTTTAAGTAATATACAAATATGATATCTTCCTATTATTATGTAGATTTATGAAGGTGAGTAAGAAGATGCAAGGCTTATAGAATAGGGACCTGGCCTCAAAATCAGGAAGATCTATTTTCAGACCCCCTATCTAACAAAATACTTGCTGTGTGACACTGGACAAGTCACCTAAACTCAGAGCCCCAACAGACTGTCTGAGAATGTGAGTTATAAAACAGTTGGTGATCTTCACTGATATAGGGAATTTCCACAATGAGAAGTTGTCTACAAATCATAGCCACAACTATGTAAATAAATTAACAAACACATAAACTAATAAATAAATGAATCAATAGATGAATCAACAAATAGATACATGAATCGATGAATGAATCAATGAATGAATGTAAGGAGCAGGAAACAGGACTTCTACTTCATCAGTCCAGTGATGCAGGAAATCAAATCCCCAGGAAGAAAACAGAGGTTTAATAAAAGATATGGGCGATGTTATGAGCTTTGCTTATTATTTATTTTGTTCTCCTCTCCTTATAAGTAATCACAGTTAAGACAAATGGAATAAACCAATAAAATCACACTGTCCATAATGTTAAAACCATAAATAATATTAAGCTTATTTTAACCTCTCACTGATTCAAACCAAAAATGAACAAAGAAACAAGCAGACAAAAAGAAGCTGACCTTAATTGTACTCGTGTGAGCTCCAGGATATTCTTTTTCCTCCAGTGTTGACCATCTCTGCACAAACTTGGACACTAGGGAATCTTCATAATCAACAATCTGAAATCCTGAGACATTTGCTCCTCCAAATTGAATTTTTGATAAATCTCCATCAGTAAATCCCTGGACGGAGAACATATCCCATCAGTTTAGTCACTCTAGATAAATCCCAAAAGTCAAAATTTACCCAATCACATCACACTTAATGTAGGGCCACATCTTTCACAACACAGGCTGCAAAACTCATGCAAAATATTACATGTATTTATGAGTCTGTGCTCATATCAGCATTGAGCACAGGACCAGCCACATAGGAAGGGGGCGACAATGCCCATTGATTGATTGCTGACCTAGGGTACCTACTCAGTGCTTGTTACTTATGTACTAACCCTTTTATCAAAAGTGATTAGTGGGCAAGTTCTGTCTCTTATTTGTTTTGTTGAGTTCATAATACACCATTACATGGTTCTTAGTTATGGAAGTGGAAGCTATAGGGTACAGCAGATAGATACAGGTCTTGACCTGAAGTTGTTCAGTTATGTCTGCCCATGGACCATTTTTGTCCATGGGATTTTCTTGGCATAGATACTGAAGTGGTTTGCCATTTCCTTCTCCAGTGTATTAAGGCAAACAGTAGTTGCCCCGGGTTGCACAGCTAGTAAGTGTCCAAGGCTGGATTTGAACTCAGGTCTTTCAGACTCCAAACCCCGCACATGGGCTACAGAAAAACAAGATGAGAAATAAGCAAATGAGCCCCTAGACTGAGGCTGAGGCATAAAACAAAAATAGATAAGTTCAGGTTAGAAGTGGACTGAAGTTGAGACCATTCAAATAGCAGATGGCAGTTTGTAAGTGGAATTACAATTAAAAGCTCCTGTATTTCCTGAATGATATGAAATGAAGTGACTTCCACTTTGAAAGTCATTGCAGTTATTTAAATCTCATTTAAATGTGTGTATTATTTGATGGTGTTCATAAAATACATAGTCATTAATGGTGATTCAGTTTATGCCTCTAAATTTGGGGTTACATGTTGGGAGAAGGAAACCCGCTTCTTAGAGAAGAGATTTGCTCAGCTTACTCTGGGCTTAGGGACAATCAAAGATAAGGTTTCTGGAACTTCATTGATTTCTGAAGGTTTTAAAGAGTTTTCTGACAAGGATATAGAATTAAAGATCTAAAGTTAGAAGGAAATCAGAATTAAAGTTAGAAGGACCATCAAATCCAATTTTCCAATTACACAAATGAGGAACTGAAGCCCAAAAAACTTAATTAGCATATTCAAGGTATGAAGTAGCAGAGTCAAGATTAGAGACTAGTCCTTTGACTCTGAATCCAATACCCTTTCCACTGGACTTACACTACTTTTGAACCTGATGAGATAGGAAATTGATAAGGAGATGATGATCCAATGCACTGAGTGAGCTGGGTGTTTTGATTGTCCCTGAGCATACTTTGCATTACAGATATCTCAGAAACAGATTTTTATTCTGTTACAAGGGAAGGCATATTGTGTGAAGGTGGGGTGAAAAAAACAATCACAAAACTTTATGTAAACTTTTAAAATTATTTTTCATTTGTAGTATTTCAATCAAACCTTTGCAGCTGTGATTTATCTATAGTGCTGAGTTGCCAAAACCCAAGATGACAGATAATTTGGATAAGGATCTATAGCTTTTTTTTTTTTGGCAATTGAGGTTAAGTGACTTGCTCAAGGTCACACAGCTAGTAAGTGTCAAATGTTTGGTCTGAGGTGGAATTTGAACTCAGGGCCTTCTGACTTCAGGGCTGGTTTTCTATCCACTGTGCCACCTAGCTGCTCTGAAGATTCTATAACTTTAAAGCAAGGGTTGCTAACCTTTTTTGTGTCACAGACCCCTTCAACCATCTTTTGAAGTCTATGGGCCCCTCATCAGAATAAGTAATTTAAAGTAATTTAAATGTATTAAAAATATTTCAGAATACAAATAAAATGAATTATGTTGAAATAAAATCATTAAAATATTTTAAAAATACTTCAAGCATGCTATGTTACAAATATCTGATTTAATTGGATCACAAAGATTTATTTTTTTCAAATTCTTAATTTTACAATCATAAAAATAAATTAGGTTTTCTAAGTACATAGTAGAACAGAAAAGAAAAATATTATACATGAAACTACAAACATCTATTATGTATGGCTCATTTTTTCTTTTAAATTTTTAATAAATTAAACATGTAACTTTAAAAGTTTAACTTCTGGTCTCTGATTCTTTCTGGCCCTTCTTATGCTCTCTTCCATGCATTTTTAAGTACTTCAATGACGATCTTTCTTTTCATTTCTTTCTTTTTTTTTTTGACTGCCCTCTCCCTGAGCTCACTTTCCCTCTTACCACTCCCAAAAGCTGAAAAAGAGAAAACTAAAATCATTGTAACAAATATGAATCATCAAGCAAAATAAATTCCTACATTGCCTATGTCCCAAAATGTATTTGTCATTCTGCATTACATCTCTGTGAAGAGGTGGGCAGCATGATTCATCACTGTTCCTCTGGAATTATAGTTGATCAGAGTTCTCAAGAACTTTAAAGTTGTTTTTCTTTAAATTCTGTTGTTAGTGTATAAATTTTGAGCCAAGCTATCACTTCATTCTCCCTTCACAGAGACTTTGTGGAGTTTTCAGAGAAGAGAATTGTTTGAAGAGAACTGACCAGATGTTCTGAGAACTGTCCTCCTCTCTGAGGAGATACTGAGAGTTGACTCTGGGGCTAAACTGTTGGCACGCTCACAGGGATGCTCAGATTTATTATTGTGTGTTAGTGTTGTTGTTTGATTGGGTCCAGTGTTTTTGTAGAAAGACACTTTCACCCAAGCTTTAAAGCAGCACATAGAGAATCAGATAAGTGAGAGGTAAGACACCAGGAGATTAGTGCCTGGATCTATTCCCAAAACTGTACCCACCTTACTCCTACTTAAGACTAACCGTTCTCCAAACATTCTAATTTCTGTTGAGGACACTACCATCCCTTTAGTCTCTTAGGTTTATAATCCCAGAATGATTCTAAACTTTTCTCTTTCCCTTGTCCTCCATATTAAATCAGTTGACAATGCCTGTTAAGTCTATTTCCACAATTCTTCTTGCCTCAATTTCCATCTCTTCACTCATAAGGCTACTGCCCTAGTTCATACCTGTCACCTGAATTATTTTAATAGCTTTCTAATTTTCCTCCTGTTTTCAATTCCTTCATTCTCCAGTGTATTATACACACAATGACCTAGATAATCTTTTTAGATGTAGGTCTAACAATGTCACTTCCTTCATCAAAAATTTTCAATCACTTCCCACTGTCTTTAGCATAAAATACGAACTCATCAACTTGGTATTCAGATCCTTCTACTTCCATAGTCCAGCTCCTATCTATCTTTCCAGACTTCCTACTGAACTAAATCATGCACTCTCAAGTCAATTCAAACTGGACTATTAGCACTTCTTCAAACACATCCCACTTGCCCTCTCTATACATTCATTCAAGGTGTAGCCCATATCTAAAATACTGTCCTTCCTCACCACAGATCTGTCTCAGTGCCTAATTTTCTTGAAGGCCAAGTTTTCTACTACCTTCTTCTCCATGAAGCCTCTGCCAGTTCCTTCAGTTACTAGTATTCTCTCTGTCTCTGTCTCTCTGTCTCTCTGTCTCTCTGTCTCTGTCACTCTCTCTCTCTGTCTCTGTCTGTCTGTCTGTCTGTCTGTCTGTCTGTCTCTCTCTCTCTCTCTCTCTCTCTCTCTCTCTTCTCTCTCTCTCTCTCTCCTCATACTAATCTGTATTTATTTTTCTATGCATATTGTGTATCCCCACAGTAGTATGTAAACTACTCAGGAGGAGGAACCATTTTTCTTATTTCCTTTTCATAGTGTCTAAAACATATGGTAAAAGCTTAATAATTTTAGTTGAGTTGATTTAAATAAGGAAATGTTCTTACAAGAGAAAATAAGACTTGTCATTTTTAATATTTGGCACAAACATAGCTTGACAAAGGTATAGATGAAAAACTGACAATATTGATTTATTGGAACTCAGCTACAATTACACTTCTCATAATATGAAATGTCTGATTCCCTCATTAAAGAAAAATTCCTTATCAGGACTCAATATCTTTCCTGGCTCTGTTGTAATATCTGTACTTAGGGTGGTAAAAAGAGCCTGGACTTGCGGAGACTTCTGGGATTTAAAGTATTTTTGTCCTTCCCCCAAGGCAAGGAAACATCACAATCTCCATATCTCAGAAGTCCATGAAGGTCCAGCCCAATTTAAATGTAAGTTTATTATATTTGTTACTTAGTTGCTATATAATAACTATTGTACATCTTCTTCACATATTGATATTAACATAATAAACTCATGCTGTTAGTATATATAGTAAAAAAGATAGAAGTTAAAGAATTTTTGAAAATGAAGAAGAGAGAAATAGTTAAGACAAGTTAATTATCTTTTTTAAGGCAAAAGAAATCATTTTTGCTAAATATGAATATTTTAAATGAAAATTTGCTCAAGGGGCAATTAATTGAATACCTACTATGTACAGTGTGCTGTGCTAGGTATGATAGTAGAGGTTAGAGGAGGGAAATAAACAGATAAGGAAGACATGGTCCCTTGCTTCCTAGATGATTAATAATTCATATCTCCTAACTACTTTTTCATATTTCCTATATCATTTGCAACAGAGGAAAATGACTAGTGATTTGTAAAACATGAAAAACAAGTGATTTTGTTGATCTGTAGAGCCAGAGATAATCAAAATAGCTTTTAAAAATATGACTGAGTTGTTCTAGACACATTTCATGCATTCAAAAATACCCCCTCAATTGAATGCTTACTTCTACCAAAATAAACAGCATTAATAATTTCACCTACCAGATTCGCAATGATATAATGGTACCCTTTAACATGTTTTCCAATGGTAATAACCTGTCAAAGAGAAACAAAAATAATCCCTTAATGAATGCTCTGAACATTGATTTAACTTGTGGTGACTGATATCATTAATTATTAAAAAATCATACATTACATTTTGTATGTCCCCAGATGAAGTCAGCTTAGTAACACAATACAGAACAATCACTGTGGTAGACTGAAAATAGAACTAAATTTAGAGTCAATGGAATTGGGTTCAAATCTTAGCTCTGTCATTTATTACATTGTGAAACTGAGCAAGTCATTTTACTTCTTGGGGACTTGCTTTCTTCATCTTTCATCTCTAATGATGCATCTATGGTCTTCTACAAGAGTTCTAAGTTCCCTTGAGGAAAATATAACAAATTTTCAGGCTCTATATTTGCTGTCTTGTAAATTGGAATATAAATGTGTTATTGTTTGTTTTATATTATCTTTACCTCTCCCTTGAACCCCTCCAAGCCTTAGGGACAGAGAGGGACAGAAATCTGTGTGTACTTTTATGTGACATGAAAATGGAAACAGTAGGAAATTGAACACATTTATATGAAACTAAGAAGTGACCATAAAAATTTAAAGGCTTCTTAATCTCTGTCCTTTTTTAAATACATAAAATTAGTTTGCATAAAATGTCACGAAACTATCTACATGTGAATTTTAAGATTCAGTGTGTTTGTCCACATATTCTCTGCTTTCAAAATATTAGACACCCAAGCATGTCTTCAAAATTGATAGACTGAATTTGTAGGAACAGCTATGGGCATACTAAAATGAAATTCAGATTATAAGATTGCCTCAATGCTCAAAAGATCTCCTTGAACTTTTCATGGTATAGTTGATACAAATATCACTGTTACCAAATTGAGTCATAACCTAAAATGAATAACCTGGGCTAATTTTTAGTACAAATTTGGCCAAATGTATAGGAAATACCTAGACTCTTGTGAAACATATACTTTTCTGGTGATCCAACTTGTTCTTTTGAATTTGGTAACAATTGTGAGATGTGAAATGAACAATATAGCCACCCCCTGGTCTGCTTTCCTTCTCTGCATGCTAGCAGAAAATTCGTTGTGATTTTATGTAGTGTTGCAGGCCCAAAGGTCAAAAAATTAGTTACTAATAGCTCATTTTTACATTGTGCTTTAACAAAGAAAGGACATATTTTTAATTTAACTAATATAGACAACTTCTAGTGTGGAAACTCATTCTATTAGTGCAAATGAAAACTTATCTGTAGCTTATAGCCTCAGAGATTTGCCTGTGGCACTGCTGTGTCCACATGTCTAGCATGTCTTCCTGACACCGAAGCTGACATCCATACTCACTATACAGTCTCTGTGTTTTGCAATTTAAAATGATGTTTCCTTAAAAATCCCTGTGAGGGAGATGATGCAAGTCTTTTTCTTCCCATTTTGAAGATGAGAAAGTGCTTGTATAAGTAAAATGACATCCTCTGTCACAAAATTCTTTATATATAAAACAAGACTCCAACGCGGTGTTCTCTATAATTTTAGCATTCTACCTCTCAATTATGAATATAGTTGAGATCTGGGCAAATAAAAAGCAAATACCTCAGACACAGTCAAAGCTTTTTATCTTGATGAGCCAAGGGGTAATATCTGAACCAGTAAATAGTTCAATGGATTGGGCAAAGCACTGGACTCGCTAAGCAGGGCTCTTTGCAGATCATGCCATTGACCAGTACTTTGGTAACAAGGGATGACTTGTAGAAGGGGAAATACTTCTCTATACATAAGTGTTTTTAGTTCATCTTAAAAGATAGAGTGTATAATGGCCAACATTTATGTAGCACTTTATAGTTTACAAAGCTCTTTATATGTTAACTCATTTGATCCTCACAACAACCCTATAAGATAAGTAATATTATCCCCATTTTCAGATGAGGAAAATGAGTCACAGAGATGTTAAATGACTTTTTTTTATTGCTGTTCAGTCGTTTCAGTCATGTCCAACTCTTTATGACCACATTTTGGGTTTTCTTACAAAGATATTGGCCTGGTTTGTCAATTCCTTCTCCAGCTCATTTTTGCAGATGAGGAAACTGAGGCAAACAGGGATAAGTACTTACCAAGGATCAAAAATCATAGTAAGAGTTAGGATTTAAACTTAGCTCTTCCTAACTCCCAGGTCTGATACTGTATCCACCGAAGCAGCTAGCTGCCTTGATATATATGGTAATTAGCATAGTAATTAAGTTGTTAGACTTGGGGTCAGTAAGACCTACATTCAGCTTCTGCCTTTGATAGATACTGGATATTAAACCCTGAACAAGTCACTCAACCACTCTAAGTCTGTAGAAGAAGTATGCTAACCTGCACTGTCAGGGGGCTTCCTCATCCAGGAGTTTCGTATACCAATGAAATATAGACTATATGGATATTTATGTGTGGGAGGACAAAAATGAATCTACAATGAGAAAACCTGACCATTTCAAAATAACAATTGCTAACTATGCTTGCAAAGTCTTAAGACCCTTTCAAAACAATCAAATCTTTATTTCTGAGCAATGAGATAAGATACAGGGTTAATGAAGAGCCTGCATTTTAGTGTCTATAAGGAAGAAGATAATGAGGCCATGAGAACCAATTTTCATTGACATTTCTTCAGCTTATAAACAATTAGTAACATTATGTTAACAAGAGACTTTATACTGTATGAATAGTGTCAAGCCTAAATAGATCCAAATTAGAAAGCAAAGATTTAGAGAAGGAAGGGACCTCAGAAGTAATTTTCCTTCCCCCAATCCTCATTTTATAAATGAGGAAACTGAAGAACCCAGTGATGACATCACATGTCCAAGAGAAGGTAATGCAGTTTGGGAGTGCCAGAGCCAGGATCCAAACCAAAGGCCTCTGATATTGAATCCAGAGTCATTTTTACTTCACCATAATTACTAATTTGCAGTAAGAGGGATTTAGGTTTGAATCTAGTCTCTGACATTTGTCAATTATATTGCCATAGGCAAGTCCTTTAATCTCAGTCACACTCAGTTTCTTCATCTATAAAATAGGGATAATAATAGCACCTGCTCATGGGGCTGTTGTTAAGATCAAATGAAGTAATATATGTAAAGCATTTCATGAACTTTAAAGTGTTACGTAAATGAAAATAATAATAATAATAAGTTCTCTTCCCCACAACCTACACGAACCAAGCAGGCTATTATATCTTATAAATGAATTGGCAACAACAATACACCATGCTTTCATATGAAGAAATTATATTCCTTACTTTTCCCCACCTACAGGGAATTTTTGTACTTCAAAATGCATGCTACCATGGAAACCATTTTTTGATGAAAGGACTAGTGACAGCCCCCTATGCTGTGTGGAATCATTAGCACAAGGTTTTAAAATGTATTCTGAAGGTGAGCACATAGAAATACATATTAGAGCTCTGTCAAATTCCTATTTTTGATGCATATCCCAAATACTCTGGATTCAATAAGTATAATAGGGTATGTTGTTGATATTGTGTGTGTGTGTGTGTGTGTGTGTGTGTGTGTGTGTATGTGTAGTTTCCAGCTAAGATGATAATGTACAGAATTGTAAGAATATGGGGATTAATGCTTTGCTCAGAGGAATGAAATTTTAAAAGAGTGCTGACAATATAAATTCCTTTAGGAAGTTGAAACAACAGAACTTAGTGTCTCATTAGCAAGAATTAAGAGGTTAAATGGTAAAGTACTAATAGTAATTTCATCTAGGCTTTCATCAGATTTTTTATGATAGATGATAACTATCTCTCCTATAATCTTAGGACTTTAAAAATATTAAAATCCAATCTAAAAAGTCATCCCTGTGAATTTCTAACAAGATTCTAGAATTTCACACATATATATATATGTAAGGGCCCCAGGTTAAAAACAATTATGCTTTCAACTCCAGAGACTAGAAAAGATTGACCAAATTGGACATCTCTCTGGCATATACCATTTTGATTTTTTCTCATAATTATTTTGCTTTATTAAGTTATTTGCAATTTAATAGGAGTTCTGTTTTGTGTTTCTTAGGGGTAGTATACCATCTGTTCAGTTGTTTTCAGTTGTGTCTGGCTCTTCATGACCCCATTTGGATTTTTTGAGGCAAAGTTACTGGAGTGGTTACCACTTCCTACTCCAGCTCATTTCATGGATTAGGAACTGAGAAAAACAAGGTTAAGTGACTTGCCCAGAGTCACACAGTAAGTGTCTGAGGCCAGATATGAACTCAGGTTTTGCTGATTCGTAGTCTGACACTCTATTTACTGAGCCACCTAACTGTCCTAGGGGCAGTATTGCTATATATCAATTAAGACTTCATTGATATTTATGTTTGCAAGGTTTTTTTTTGTGTGCTTTACAAATTAGTGGACCTACTTTTTATTCTCATCCTGAAGAGAATTCAAGCATTGCAGCCAGGATACTTTCACCTTTCCTTTTACCAACTTCCTCAACCTCCTGTCCAAACCTACCCCCACTCAGATGGTGTCAATAAATGATTCATCTACTGATTCATTCAGGATGCTGTATAGTGGTTCTAGATCCCCTAATCTTAAAAAATGTATCTACCTGGCTATTTTAATATCTATCATCCATTTGTCTAAATATGCAGCTATCTGTCTATCATCTATCTGCATATGCATCTATCATCTATCTGTCTGCATACATTTAAATGTGTCTCTATTATGCATGTTTTCATGGGAGCTTTTTTCCCATTAATTGACCTTGATCTCATCAGAGAGAAAGGGAAAAAAAGTAATTCTTATGTTTGGGCACATGAACTTAATCAAAAAAAATAACAGATGTATTTATTGATAAAATGTTAATAGGCAAGGGTTTCTTCATCCCTCTCAAGAGAATGGGTGATAACACAAACAACAGGCATCATTCAGATCATGTCACTCCCCTAGCTCAAAGAACTTTGGATAACTAGTGGAACACTGGCCACGAGCACAGATTTCACAGGTATTTCTGTGCCCACAGGTTCCCAGGTCAGCTAGGGATAAAAGGCCAACATGTGAGGCACAGGGTAATAGATTTTCTTGTTACCTAACGTGTGTACATGAAGATAAAACCTCTGTAACCACACAGCTCTAACCTAAGAAAACCCGATAGTCCTACCACCTGCTTTGTGCTTGACTCTACAAGTGACATGGGGTTATTTAGAAAATTACTTCTTAGGGCAGCTAGGTGGCACAGTGGATAGAGCACCAACCCTGAAGTCAGAAGGACCTGAGTTCAAATCCAGCTCAGATCAAACACTTGACACTTGCTAGCTGTGTGACCCTAGGCAAGTCACTTAACCCCAATTGCCTAAAAAAAAAATAGGAAATTACTTCTTTCAGTGCCCTAAATAGGAAGCAAATGTTCCAAAACATAAATATATCCCAAGAATAAAAAAAATGACTCCTTTATCATCTATGAACTTTGGAGAGTATAGGGACAGTACGATGTCATTCCACTGTTGGGTTCAGTCCCATAATAGCCAAGTTCCAAAAACTATCCACCTTTTGTAGAATGTTTTAAAAGTACCTATATGCATCCCCCAAGAGGCTAATTTTGGAGACCATCAACTATGGAACCAAAGGAAAACCAGCTATATGGATAATTGCTAAAAGGGAGCATTCTTCCTGAGTCCATGGGGTACAGGTGAGAGAGCATCAACTTTGGAATCAGAGTCCCCTTCTGACATTTTACCACTTCTGTCTTCTTAGGCAAGTTACTGAATCTCCCTTGGCCTTGGCTCCCCCATCTATAAAATGAGTGAAGTAATCTATGCTATCTCTTCTTCTTCTATACCTAACACTCTACAAGCAAAATCTCCTTTTCTGATGTAACATTTCATTTATATAGTGTATACCTTATATATAACTAGTCATTTGCTTATCGATTTCCCTACTAGAATGTGAGCTTCTTAAGAACAAAGTCTGTGTTTTTGTCTTTCTCTGCATCCCCAGTGCTTAGCACAATGCCTGATACATAGGAAAGTGCTTAATAAATACTTGTTGACTGACTATGATTTCATTAGTCTTTCTTTAACTGTAGCAGAAAACTTCCATACTCTAAAACGGGTAAATGGCAAGTGCCCATGAAAGATGTCCAAATCTGAGAAATATTACATAAAATAAAGACCAAGCATGGGACAAATAAAGGCCAGGAATCAAATTGAGATTTCTCATGGGGCAAACAAAGGCAAGGTAATTTATAACAAAACTCATATTATACTAGGTTTTAGTTAATAGTCAAAACCATCAAGCTGCTGGGTCAGCATTATCTCAGAGCACTGCTATTGCCAGCTGATGACTTGGATAATTTAAATGATGGCTTATGCTGTGTCACACTGAAGCCATAAAGCAAAAACTGCTGTTCACGCAAGACTCCCCCCAATGCTTGTAGCTGCTGACCTTGCACCAGAACTCTATATCTGGGGGTCATAGATGAAAAAGAATGTAGCATCACCTACTTGGTCTACAATGTCGTTGACTTTGTCACGCTCACAGTCGAGGATTACGCGCCTTTCCTTTTTCACCTCTAGATCTTGAAACAGTGACCGGTAGGTTTCATCTTTCCTGTCATTGTTAATATTCCCTACATTGATAGCAGTCACTTGCCATTTCTTCTCAGCAGCAGAATCCAGGACAGCTTGCAATGTTGATAAGCCTGGGAGGGCACAAATTTAAGAAATAAAAATTTAAAAGACCATTAAAATCATTTGAATAGCTCAGAATCATATTATACAACTTCTATTTATTATGCCTCTAACAAGCTTGTTAGATAACTAGATGATAACCCTTCTTCCTCTCTCCCCACCCCAGTACAAAAGCT